TGTCTCCAGGACAGTCGCCGGGCTGGACGCTCTCACATGTTGAGGAGGCTACTGGACTGAAGTGTCCACACACTGAGGAAGGTGCGCGGAAAGACTCCTTCTGCATGTGTTTTGACATTTCTGCAGGGCACCTTGGCACTCTGGACCCCAAACCTTAAATGTGTGTATCGGCTTTGGTCCGGCAATCCTGTGGCTACAAGTTCTTCTTAATAACTATGAGCCTTTTATAAAGGGTGCGGACAGAATTTTGGTCGATGTTTTAAACAATAGCAAAATTTAAAAAGAACTAAACAAACCAGAGGGAATCATTCATGATATATTGCAAAGAGAGCAGAACCAAATGTAGCCAGATCTCTGAGAGCGTCACAGTTGGATGGCGATAGGGAGAGCCGCAACCTAGACCCCGACCGCCTCAAGCAGTGCTCACACTAAGTGTTCCGGTGGTCGCCTGTGCGCGAGGGGGTTAACCACGCACGTTCTTTTCTCCCCCTGCCCTTCCAGGCTCTCTAAAATCCTTGCAGGGAGCCTGTAGGATGTAGCTGAGCTAGACACATTCACTTCGGAAGATATGTTTGGTCAATTTGGTCTGGCAGAAGGACCACCAAATATGCTTCAAAAAAAAGCATTTCTCCACGAAAATTAAAGTCATTTCAAATCTCTCTCTTAAGAGTGTGAATTCAATGAGGGCAATTAAAAAAAAAAAAAAAAAAGGACAAGGAAAGTGCCCCAAGGGAACGGTTTGAAGCGTTTGCTGGTCTCCTCATTGGAAGCTGAAGCCAGAATCTCCGGGGGAGGCAGCATCATGACGCTCCCCTCGGGGCTCCAACCCCCCTGGCAGCAGCTGGCCTGGTGGCTTGGGGGTTGGACGGGGTCCACGCCACCCTCTGCCACTTACGAGCAGCAGCGTGTTACTTGGGGGTAACCGAGGCTGCCGCTGGGGCTGGGACACAGGTACTGGAGTGGTGAGGGGCTCCTGGGGCTCAGCGGCTCCTTCCTCCTTCTCATCTAGAGGAGGCAGGGGCCCAGGCAACTCTGGGCAAGGAATACACATTCATCTCACTAAAACAGCCTTCTGAAATCTGCTAACTTCAAATGTCTGAAAATCCCGATGCTTTGCTTTGACTTGACACATTTTTTCTTTCAGAGATGGATTGCATGTCAGTTGTAGTGAATATTTATAGTATCCGCCTTTGCTCCCCAAATATTTACTGAGTGCTCATGTCAGAGAGAGCAAACATTGGGTGGCTCCCGCTAGGACAACAGAGGGCTAGGGTGGGAAGGTGCTCTGGACACCATCCATTGGCAGATTCCAGCTCTTCTCCCCAGTGTGGTTAAGGGAGGCCATTGGGGTAAGGATGTGGTGGCTGAGGGGGGCTCACTGGGGGTGCTGCGGGGAGGCTGGAGGGATTGGGGAGAGGAGGTGGCAGGTGTGGACAGGGTGGAGTTGGTCTGGGGTGTCAGGGGCCCACAGAGGCCCAGGCAGGGCTGTGGGTTTATATGTGGAGCCAATTGGCAGAGCTTTATGCTGCTCCTTCCTTCCTCACTCCACCCATCCACCTACATCTACAGAGATCTTCTGCACATAACTCCTCTATGTACTATGAGCTAAGACGACCTACCATAGCGCCTGCTGCCTGGAGGGGAGATGGGAAAGTAAGTCATTATAACCTAGAACTAAGTGCTGGGTGAACATAGGCTTAAGGGGCAGGCTTGGAGCAAAGGAGGAAATGACCAGTTCTGGTCAATGAGGGACGGGAAGAGGGCATTGCAAGAAAGGAAGAGCGGGTGTGAGAGCAGAGATGTGTGACACCAGATGGTCTGGCCCAGGAACTGGGTCTTGCAGCCAAGTCCAGGCTGCCTGCCCCAGTGGAGGTCGGCAGTGTGGCTACAGAGAGCGTCATGGCCACGCTTGGGCCACGGAGAGCTGAGGTCGGTGGGAAGATACTCAGATTTGCCCTTAGAACTCCTGTGTTGACACTCCATGGGGAGGGCAGGCTGGGGGCGAGGGGCTGGGCGGGGGCCCTGGCTGGCGCTGGGCACACGGACCACTTGGGAAACCGCCTCCATGAGCAGTGACTGGGACCCTGGGAGGAGGGAGCAGGCCTGAAAGTGTCTAGGAATAAAATGAACAGGCGGCAGGTGGTGGCTAAGGAAACCGAGGGAGGGAGGGCCAGCCATGACTGGTGCCAGGCCGGGCAACCTGCCTGTTTGGAGGTGAGGAGCTGGTTCAGTCTTGAGTTGGTCTGGAGCAGTGGGGGGCGGGGGGGACCCCCGTTAGGCCATTGTTTGCTGGGATGTGGAGCTCAGGAGAGGGGACATTGGGCCGGAGCTGAGCTTTACAGACATCCTGTCCTGCTAAAGGGGACCCGCGGCTGTCAGGCAGCTGCGGGCTCGGGAGCGCCTCCACCTGCGACCTTGGGCAAGTCCTTTATCCTGTGAGGGCCTCAGGTGGCCCCTTGGGCCGTGCAGGTTGCAAGGGCGGTGAGGATGAAATGGGAAAACCTGTGCACTGTGCTCAGAATAGCGTGTGTTAGCGCTGACTCATGACTATCTGCGACCCCCTGGCCTTTAAGTGGGGGGCGTGAAGCCTTCGGAACAGATGAGATGGCCCAGGGAGGCCGTTGGAGGGAGTGGGGAGAGGTGGACGACAGTCGGGGGCCCTGAGCATGTGAGGATGTTTTTCTGAGCCTCTGAGGCAGGGTGGTGGCTAGAACAAATCACGCGGCTGGGGCTTAAAGTCTCTTAAAAACAAATGCTCCCCAGCCCTTCTAAATATATCAAACAGCTTCGTTTTGTGAGCAGACCAAATTAAACATTTACTCTCTACATTTCCAGATGAACGAACTAACACTGAAGATGCCACACAGAACATTCTTGAGGTGCCTGGGAACCATCGGTGACCCCGTGCTTGCTGCTAACCAGCTGTGTGACCTTGGGGAGGCCCCCCACCCCCGTCTCTGAACCTGAGTTAATGCACCGTAAAATGAATTGGTCAGATCAGAATCATCACTCAGCTCTCGTCAGCCCTGAAGGTCCAGGTCTAAAGGCAGCCAACTGTTAGGCTGGTCTTAGTTACTTAGTGGCCTTGAGAGCAAAATGACAGATCTTCTTTAAAAGCCTGTGTAATGGAGGACAGGGGAGAGGCTTTGTCAGCAGGCAGCAGGCGGGGAGCCAAAGCAGGAGGGGAGGGGATAGGGTGATAGGGTGGGGAGTGGATGGCGCTCAGGTGGAGGGATCCTGCAGCCGCAGCACGGAGGGTCGGTCCATGGTGGGGAGTCTGGGCTGGGGCCTCCCGCTCGTGAGCCACTGGGCCTGAGGCGGGCATGTGCCCATGCCACTCCCACAGCAGACATGGTCTCTGCCTCCTTGAATTTGCCATCTGCTGGGGAGGCGAGATACTGAACAAGTCCCCAGAAGGAGTGAAATGAGGTTAAGGCCCAGGGCAAGTTCCTGAATTTCTCCCAGCTTAGTTTTCACTCTGCAGAAAATGGGCATACAAATGCTTAACTCAGGTGGCTTATGAGAGTAACTGCACCAACCGTGTTGATTCCTTTCCATGCGGTGGGGCTTGCGGAGAGGCAGGGAGTACGATGGAAGTTACTAAGTGAGGACAGGGGGACTAAGGGATAATAAGATGAAGCAGAGGTAAATTCATCTCCAAATTGCACTGGATGGCCCTCTACTTGCTAGCAGTGGGCTGCAAACTCAGTTCTGAGCATCTAGGCTATCAAAGAAAGAAGGAAATAGGACAAGTCTGAGCATATCGCTTCTGGTTAAAATGTTTCAGTGGTTTCCTCTGGCCCTTGGATAAAAGCCAAGTGCCTTCATCTGACGGCCTCTTCTGTCCCCTCCAGCCCGGACACTCTTTGGCACAGGGAAGTCACACCCCACCCTTTCTTGAGCCAGCCGTTTGCCCAGCGCTCTCTCCTTCTTTCATTTGGGCTCAGCGGGTCTGCCTTCGCCCATCACCCAACTCCATTCCCGGGTTCCCTCTCTCCCAAAGTGTCCAGCACACAGTAGGCACTCAGAAAACAGTGATAGGATGACTTTATAGCCTGCCCTGTCCTGAGATCTCTGTGTCAGGCTCCCCCACAGACGCCCCCAGAAAAGGGGTACCATATGGTGTGGGGGACACACTGCACTACCCACAGCCTGGCCCTGGGGATCGAATCAACAGTGATCCACGAGAACTGGAGAGAGGCTGGTGGTGGAGTGGTTCCTGCAGGACTTGGTAAGGAGCACTCTCAGATGATAAGGACTGAGGTGGGTGGGAATTTACTGAAGGGGAGGAGGAAAGAGGGAGTTTAAGAGAATTTACACAACACCTGCAAAGGGCATATTAGGAAGCCGGCTTTCTGTTACCACCCCTTGTAAGGTAGATCTGTAGAAGTGCGTGAGATTTGGGGAAATAAACAAAAGATCAGCCCCAGAAAAGAGAAAGCAGAGGATGGTACAAACCCATAGACTCAGGGGACAGATTCTAGGGCAAAGGTTCCAGAAATGAAGTGCCAGTGACTAATCTGAATTATCTGCAATGTAGACAGATAACAGGAGATCAGAAGTTGACACGGTGAAAACAGTCAGACTTGCTGGCATGGGAAGATGCTATGGTAAACCTCATGGTAAATATTTCCAAACCTTAAAAATCGTAGTCAACACTCCATACCAACATTTCACAACCAGAGACTGATCCAAAGATCTTTAATCATTATGTCTATACCTCATTATCTATCATCAGATTCTAAACTTCTTGAAAACGGTAAGAACATGTCCTTTTCATGCCTTTCCCTTTGTATCAATTCCAGAATCTTCACTTCATCCTTGCTTGTTGAATTCAATTAGATGGAAAGAATTGGAGATGTATAGTTTTCAGATGTAAGGAAGACATGCTAAACTTAATGGTATTTAAATGGCTGGCATTTCAGATAGGTTAAAAGAATTACTCATTTTTAAAAATATTCACCACCCCATTACAGAAATGATCTGGAGTCTATGTGCAATATGACTTAGGGGGTTTAGACAATAATGTGTTTCAATGCATCATCACAGTGCAATGACTTTGAAGAAGATCCTCCTGATAGATGGGCTACATTCATAAAAGTGTGTCATGATCCTTTCCTCCACTGGCCAAACCACATCTGGAGTAAGACATTGTATTCCAGGCCCCATGTCTTATATATGCGATGGGTAAACCCAGAATGCATTCAGGAGATGGTGATCGGGAAGGAGAAGTCCCTCAAAGTTGTGAGATGTGGCTAGTAAGATCCCATTTATGCTATCATCTGCCTTCTCACCCAAACTGGAACCCTGGTACTAATTCTAGACTCTTTCACTTCTTTCAATCCCTCCTGGATCCCAGCACTGCTCTTCTTCTCCTGTGTCCCCAGCTGAGTTCTGATGCCCACCAGGTCACCCCACACTCTACAGCAGCCCCCTTCCTCCAGGCCTGCTCACCTCCACCTGTCCTCTACATGTCTCCTAGGGTAAGCCTTCTAAAATGCACATCTGTTTGTGTCACTCCCTGCTTAACTCCCTTCATGAATGCTCGTACATCCAGCATCGGACCCAAGCCCACTGTTAGAGCCTTATCCAATTTCTGCCCCCTTCACCAGCACCACACCACAAGACAGAAACTCAGCTCCAACTAACTTAAAAAAGAAATGCTCATGCATGCAGTATATGTCTGAATAGAAGGTAACACTGAACAGAAACTATTTCCCAGTAAAAAGAGTCTCTCTCTGCCCTGCCTCCATTTTACCCCCTAAGTTGAATATTTACCCTTACTGGGGAAAGGCGAGAGACGCCAGCCAACAGTTCCAACTTCACAACCTCCCGGCAGCCTGAATTCAGAGGCAAGACACAGTTTTTGTCCCTAGTTGGAAGATCCTCACAGAAGATTCTGTGGGACTGAACTTTGGGGCTTCCCTGAGCCAATCACTGTAGCCAGGGGATAAAGGCTCACTCTGATTGGCCCCTGCGGCATGTCTGGGACCAACCAGGACCCTCTGCAGGGAGGGAAAGAGAGAAGGTGGTTCCCAAGGAAAGGGTGCTGGGCAGATGGACCATCCCATCAGCTCCCTTGGGAGCCTTTCCTGACCCTACCTGAGGACACAAATGCTCCTTCCCAGGTGCTTCCAGAGGTCCTGACAAACACCTGTCTGCCAGCATGGGGTACCTGTGGGTTTTGTAGATGATATACTGGGCCATCCATGGGATAGAAGTTCCTGGAGGGCAGGAATTTTGTTTGTACTGGTCATCTTCTGTCTGAACTCCATGTTCATCCTCCAGCCCCTTCACCCTGCTCTCCCTCATGGACTACATCATAGCGCCCTGGGCCCGGTGGGCCAAGTGGGGCTCATTTGCAGGAGGTGAGGGACAGAGAGGAGAGTGAGTCTGAGATGTTGGTCCCTCTGGTTCCTTCCCTGCCGGGTCACCGTGAACTGGCTGCCTCCCGGAACTGAGGGCGACACCTCCTTCGAGAAAATCCTCTCCGCATAGCTCTGGGTTCTGGGAACACCTCCCTGCCCTCGCCCTTCCCAGCCTTGCTCTGCAGTTCACAGCCCTGGGTGCTTCACTATCTCTTTAGGTTTCCCTATACCCTGCCCATCAGATCAATAGCTCCTTTATTAAACTCTCCTCATATTACCCAGTTAGAGCATGCCTCCTGGTTCCTGCCAGGACCCTGCCTAATGCAGTGTTCTGTATTCATCTTTGTTTCCCCAGGGCCAGAACAGTGCCTTCCATACCATGGGCACTTAATAAATTTGGGAATGAATGAATGATTAAACAGTGGCTGGATATAGGAGTGTTGAGCCCTATACAGAAAATGGACCCAGGTGGGTAGCTTTCAATTTTTTTTTTTTTTTTGGCCAGGACACATATTAAGAAACATAGCTCATGTTGCAGTGCAGTAGACACACGCGTATTTACATATAACTGAATGAGAAGTTTCGTGAAGCAATGCTTACCTTTACTATGATAAGCATATCAACATACTGTGATATTCTCTATTTAATTCTGTTCTGTTTCAAGTTCAAATTCTCCTTATGGTCTGCTAAATTGATTTCATGACCTGAAAAATAATTGCAACCCACAGCTTAAGACACACTGGCCCGGTGACCTTCAGCATTCCCTGCATTCTGGAGAGTCTGTGATTCAATGGTAGGGTTTAAGGCACAATGAATGAGAAGAGCGATGATGCATCTCATGGGAGTTGGCTTCATGGCCTTGAAAAATCAAACAAAATCGCCATTCTATCTTCAGTTTTTCATATAATTCTTACTCAAAGTTGACCTTTTTTTTTTTTTTTTAAGTTTGGCCTAATTTGGGGGGAAGGGCAAATTAAAGCTGTTAAAACACGCTGATGTATATGAGTAATTTTAAGCATCAATTCATCAAAGTCAGTGTGAGGGACCACCAGCTTGAGAGGGGACCACCAGGCCTGGAAAGGACAGCTCATCTTGTGTGCCCGCCCCAGGGTCCCTGGGCTTCTCCTCCGTGTCCTTGTTGCTACCAGCAGCTCTTCCTTCTCCTCGGCGAAAGCATTTCCTAGTGCCCTATGTGTAGGTGGAGCTTGACCCATAGGGCAGCCCGGGCCTGTCCGTGTCCCCCGAGGTGGTAGTCACCAGGCCCAAGCAGCCCATTTGCGATTGGTTATTGTCTCACTGCTTCAAGCCCAGCCCAAGTCTGCAGCCCTCTCCACCTCAAAAACTGTAGGATTCTATTTTAAACCCTGAGTTCTATGTTCTCAAAAACCGACTCTCCCTTCCCAGCTCACCATCTGTCATTCGCCTGGTATCTGAACTGTAAAGCCAAGTTAGAAGAGTAGAAGATGGTAATAGATATTCTTGAGCTATGATTCGGAATCAAATCCTCAACCCCCGTCCTCAACCAGACATCACCTCCCTGCCAGGTTCTTGAGAGAGAGAAATACAAGAAAGACAATTCCAGACAGGCGGGCACGTGACCAGACGCTCCAAAGCAGAGGCTTGCTGAGCCAATACAGACGAGCTGTCATTCACTGGCTTACTCGTCGTCATCCCCTCAAAAGATTCCTGTCGGCGCCTACAATGTGCCGGGCACGGGGAGGGAGAGAACAGTGAGCAAAACCCGGAGTCCCTGTCCTGGTGAAGCTTATGTTCTGACAGTGGGATCAGAAAAGAAATAAATAAATGAGTATCTTAATACCAACGTAGGAGATGGTGGTAAGTCCTGTGAAGGAAGTACCTCCCACTAAGGTGGGTGCGAGGCAGCATGTGAGTGTGTGTGCTCGTGGGAACGTTATTTTAGTTAGTGATGTTACGGAGGGCTCTTCGAGGAGGTGACCTCTGAGGAGAGAGCCCGGTGGGTGTGAGCCAAGGAGACACCCAGGGGAAAAGCATCTGGTGAGAGGAAGAGCACACACAAAGACCTTGAGACCATGAAGAAGGCTCCTTATGCCCCGGGGGAGAGGCAGGGCTACGGCCTGGTGCTATTGAGCAGCCTTCTGGGCCCTTCGCCTCCCCCAGCCCGTGCCAAACCTTGGCCACTCTTGGACACAAAGATTCAATATTTTTTTAAAATTATTTTTCATTGTGGTAAAATACACATAACATGAAATTTCCCATCTTAGCCATTTTTAAGTGTACAGTTCAGTGGCCTTAAACACATTCGGGTTATTGCGCCACCATCACCAGCATCCATCCCCAGGACTGTCTCGAAGAACTGGCGCTCTGTATCCATGAACTGACAGCTCCCCATTCCCCGTCTCCCAGTCCCTGGCAACCAGCATTCCACTCTCTGTCTCTAGGACTTTGACTATTCCAGGGACCTCATATAAGTGGAGTCATACGGTATTTCTCTTTTTGAGCCATGTTTCACTTAGTGTAATGTTTTCAAGGTTCATTCGTGTTGCAGCATGTGTCCAGATATTTCCTTCCTTTTTGAGGCTGAATAATATGCCATTGCACATATAGACCACATTTTGCTTATCACTTTATCTGTCAAAGGTCCCTGGGCTGCTTCTACCTCTTGGCTATTGTGAATAATGCTGCCTTGAACACGGGTGGGCAAATATCGCTTTGAGTCCCGGCTTTCAGTTCTCTTGGGTGGATACTCAGCAGCGGATCAACAACTGTAGATCACTTTTCCTTGCGTTGAACAAAGGTGTTTCTGCGTGGCCCCTGAGAATTATGCCAACTGTTAAGGAGGGCTGCCAGGGTCTGTCTGCACATCCCTCTCCCGTCTGGACTGTAAGCTCCCCGTGGACAGGGAACCCACGGTGGACACTCCCACACCCCGACGCCGGGGAAGGCCCATAGTCTGCCCTCTGGAAGGTTGATGAAAGGAACAAATCTGGCCAGGGTTGTGGCCGAGAGGAGGGCGCTGAGCCCCGCTGCCTCTGCTGGCGTGTGTTTTTATAGATGGGGCTTCTCTGATTTTGTTTGAAAGAACTGCCCCTAAGATAAAAAACTAATATAATCCAATTCCCCGGGGGAGAATCGGAAACCCACAGAGGGTTGGTGATCTGCCCGGCATCCCGATGCAGCAAGTGAGTGGTCTGGCCGGGATCCGAATCCAGGCTCCCTGGTCTCTATTCGGTGCTGCTGCAACCTGGCCTTCACCGGGAAAGAAGACTGTCTTGGCATCTCCCCCCTTGCTCTCGGCCTGTCTCCTCCCTCAGAAGAGGGGCAGAGCCTCCAGCAGACCCAGCCCTGGCCCTGGGCCCCCCGAGGCTGGGCAGCCCAGCGTGGAGTCAGCAGGGCTCCCCTAAGCAGAGAGGTGTGCTTTCCTTTCTCACAAGCTCCGATCAAGTTAGGGGGTCTCAGCGCCGAGGCACCCCCAGGCAAACCCTGGAGCGCGGGGCTTCGCTGATCTCCAGATGCCCAAGCAGGAGGGAAATTGCTGACGGTCTTCATTCTCTGAAGCGGTTCCTTCCCGGGGAGAGAAGCACCATAGGCTGCGGGTGAGGGACAGGGGGAGGCCTGAGGTGTGTGGGGGTGTGTGTAAATGCGTGTGTGTGTGAGAGAGAGAAGCCCCAGGTAAGGGGTGTGTGTGTGTGCGTGTGTGTGTGAGAGAGAGAGAGAAGCCCCAGGTAAGGGGGGTGTG